AGTCTTGTCCCATGGAGGTGGCTCTTCTATGTTGTGCCATGTGTTTATGAAGTGGCTGTTTGGTTTCTCCAATGTAGAGGTCTGAGCATTCCTCACTACACTGTACAGCATACACCACATTGTTAAACTTCTCTTTGGGATGGACCAGTTTTTGTCTGACTGTGTGGCTGGTCTGAAGTACACTGGGATGTCGTGCTTTGAGAAGACTCTCCTGAGTTTCTCTGACAAACCTGCTACATAAGGGTTGACAGTATTGTTCCATTTGCCCTTCTGATTCTCCCTAGACAGAGGAACCTCTTAGGGACACTCCCAATAGGGCTTAAAAATCTGGGACTCTCCACCAATTGCTTTTAGAACTGAAGAAGCTTCTCGGATGAGAGGTGAAACTTCTTCAAGAAACTTAAAGTCCAGATGCTTTTCTTTCCAAGCTTTTTAGACTACGATGAACCTTCACAGACACTTCACAGTAATTCAAAACCAGTTTATCCAAGTAGGTACTAATGGAAAAGGGGCTGAATATACAGTCACTAATATGTCTGTGTGTTTAACTAGACAGCAGAAGTGGCTCTGGCCAACCTGAAGAGTAAGTATGAGGCGGAGAAGTCCATGGTGACCGACACCATGACAAAGCTGAGGAACGAATTAAAGGCCCTGAAGGAAGACGCCGCCACGTTCTCCTCTCTGCGAGCCATGTTTGCTACCAGGTCAGAGAACAAAGCAGAACATACTGAAGCACAAACATTTCCAGAAATTCTTTGAGAATCCATGTGTTGGGTTAGTGCAGGGGTGTCGAACTCCAGGCCTCGAGGGCCGGTGTCCTGCAGGCTTTAGATGTGTTCTTGATCCAACACAGCTTATTTAAATGGCCAAACGACCTCCTCGACATGTCTTGTAGTTCTCCAGAGGCCTGGTAATGAACTAATCATTTGATTCAGGTGTGTTGACCCAGGGTGAGATCTAAAACCTGCAGGACACCGGCCCTCGAGTCCTGGAGTTCGATACCTGTGGGTTAGTGTGTCAGGGAAAGCCTCTAAAGAATTTAACCAGGATGTAATAAGAAGTCCAGTCATTTCTCTTTCCAAGCTCCTTAGGATTACCATGATCTGGATGACCGAGCACCCACACAGACAACCAGGATGTAATGTACATCACAGCCCAGCTCTATTTCTAAAGACAAACGGTCCAAAAACTCAGCTTTGTGTTTCCTCTCAGTCAACAGACTTTGTCATCTTAAAGAATAGGTTGATATTTCATGCATTTACATTTTCCTCATTTTACTTGTTTCAGTCTTTACAAATGTTCCACACAGCACCCAGCTGCTTTTATCTGGAGCTTATTAACTAGCATCACGTATCTTTTTCACCATACTCAAACTAACTTATACATTCCACCAGGTAATGTTTAGCTATCCAATTAGAGTGCAAACATCATCTGTCTTTCTTTCCACATTTTACATTTTAGTTCATTTTCTACACTACTCAAATGTCTGCTTTGTGCAGGTGTGATGAGTATGTGACCCAGCTGGATGAGATGCAGAGGCAGCTGGCTGCAGCCGAGGATGAGAAGAAGACTCTGAACTCTCTCCTGCGGATGGCCATCCAGCAGAAACTGGCCCTCACCCAGCGTTTGGAGGACTTGGCCTTTGATCAGGAGCAGTCCCATCGCACCCGGGGGAGCAGGTTGACCCGTGGAAAAACCAGCACCCCCAAAGTAAGTCCCTCGACTTTGACTACAGCCTCCAATCCTGCTCAAGGGTCCAGTCCAGCTTTGGCCCCTGGCAGCCTCCCTTCT